TCCCATCGCTAATATTTGTGCTTGTTAAAATATGTGGTACTCATGGATAGGTTGATAAGTCTAATAATGAAAGATACATTTAGCCATATTCCTTGTGCTATCTCTGCATGTGAACAGCTTAAATAGCTCATTAGACAGGGATGTTTGTGCACATAGAAACAACGTCAAAACTAAGGAACTCTGCCAATTACGTTACTTATTTTTCGTATTTAAGTAGAGCTGCGAGAATACCAGTAAATAAATAATATGAGATTTATTCACCCTATTTCAACTCTATTCATATTATTGTGGGAAAGTTCTACTACCAATCCTTCATCACTTTAAACTAAATGGGGTAAATACATCTCATATTACTGATTTACTGGTAATCTCGCAACTCTACTTAAATACGAAAAATAAGTGACGTAGTCGATTGTCATAACAAATATACGTTTGCTTCATCGACAATCTAACCAAAAGTATGTGATGGGCAAAAGGGCTGGCCTTTCTTGAAATTCACATCTGCCCTATGACCCAAGGGCACTTGTGACAATGTGGCCGAGTGGTTAATGTGACAAGCTCATATTCTACACTGTCACGGTTCGACTCCCGCTGGGGATGTTGATAAGACCGAGGCGAGTTCAAAACTGCAGTCCACTTCAGCCGGAATGAGAACAACTTTTGGGAAAGCAAGGATATGTAAAATTTAATGGAAACTTCAGCTCTACTCATATCATCACCTTAAACGAAATATGGTGAATACATCTCATATTATCGTATAAAAGCCAACCGGATGCAGTATTACGAGATTTATCCGTCTTCATCTGGTGAGATCGAGCAACGAATCTCTTTTTCATGCACCTTTATACGAAATGAAAGTCCCCCCAACAATAACAACTGTTTTGTTTATAATGGCATTTCTCTCCTAAAAAGATTGCATTTTTCGGATATATTTTTATCTTTTCATTTGTAAAATCGGAAGCTTGTATCATCACGGCGAATATATTGACGTAAATTAGCCGTTACAACAATATGCACATTTTTAAAGACTGTGAGATTTTCAGTAACCCTTAACACGAGTCTCACATTACCATCTATTTTCGGAGTCCATAGAGTGTTGGGTATGTATTTAGAGTTTACGCTGCACTCTCATGGTTCAAGTCCTGCTGTAGGTGCTGATGATACCTCGGGCGAGGCTGAAGCTACAGGTTATTTAATTCTGGATGAATATAACTTTTGTGAAAGCAAGGCTGTGTGCAATTCTATGGAAATGTAGGTTTTACTTAAAAAAAATTGTGTGAGGGTTGCAGGATGAGCCATGATCAAGAGAGGGAGTCTGGATTAGCCTAAAGTCCAGCTCGGGCTATCTCACTTCTCGTGACACAATAGACAATTGCTCACGCCCAAGCATGAATCAGCACTTGAGGATCGTATGCTAGTTAATGTGTGTAAGGAAACGTCTGCCACCGAACGCACATCCGATTTGGAAAGTAACTTCATTCATTTGCAAGCCTGAAGAGTAAATTTGGAATAGCTAACAAAGTCATGGAATGCTTCATTAGGATCGCGAAGTTAGACGTATAAAAAATGACTAGGGTAGTAGCAGACCACCTTTTCCCTTACTTTGGTATATTTTTGCTCTATTTACTGAAGTATGGATACTGCTCTTTTAATGCTTGTCATGGTGATAGCGACGAAAGCTTAGCACAGCTTCAAAACTCTTCCCTTAGCGATAATTCTTCATCGGTTTCCGGTGAGTGGACAACAACTATCTTTTCGAAATGGAGAGTCATACCACAATACTACTCATTTGGGACCATTCTATCTCGTGTTCAGTCTCCGGCCAGTTTTCGGCCAGTTTTCGGCCATTTTGACCATTGGATTCAGCTTCCCTTTTAAGCATTTTATATTTCCTTATGTTTGTCGAATTTACCGACATGTCTCACAAACATACTGTCTCGATTATGGGTCATAATTCTCTATAAAGAGTGGGCAACCAAAGGAAGTGTCAGGGCTTCTTTCAACACTGTTTTTATCCTCCATTTTATTACTAGCTGGCCTAACGTTTTTAGAAAGAAGGTTGGATGGCAAAGTTCGAAAATGAGGAAAGTTCCCCCCACTTGTCTACCTTTACCTAAATAGTCTCGATCTGAACTTTTATGCTTCAGTAAAGATATAATGTTCTTACTTAAGCCGAAAGAATAACTATTTTCCAGACATAAATCTTTCAGCGCTACTAACTCTTTAGTCAAATGGTTGCTATGAGCAGTAATCTTTAAGTTGAATATGGCTGTTCGAATGATGCTCACCCGATGATGTCCGTCATACAAAGGACGAAATCTTAGCACATTTTCACCGGAATCGAATAAGATTGCCTCGGAAACTGCCTAAATAAGAATTTCCCGAAATAAAGGATAACAAAGGCAAATGTGGCGATACGAACTACACAATCGAGGTCAAATCAGAATGTGGTCACGATCAAACATAAGACTCATTAAAATGTTAATACTATCTACGCTCATGTAATTTAGGGTTATAACATGGAATAGCAATAATCAAGATGTTAAGCTAGCAGTCTGGCGGCAGAACTAATGTCGTGCCTCGTACTGAAGACAGCGGGGAGGGTGAGTACCTTGTCTGGCCTGCGAGGCTGCTGCTTCCACCGGGGACCGATCTTTGCTAGGCTCAGAGATTACAGAAAGAGTTGATATAAACAGATCATAAAAAATATTTTGGTGTAAAATAATTGGTTAAAGTCCTTTTAACTTCCGATTTAACTGTGTAACCTACTTGAAACAGTTTTCCATTAAGCCTTACTTTTAAGTAAGCATTAATCCAAAATCACTTAATTAGTGTGACGACTACAAATAACATATCAACTTTAATTATCAGTGGTTGACTAGAAGCAGCGTTGTAGATATACTAAATAATATGCCAACAATTTTAGAGAGTACAGTCCGTTGCAGGACTAAAATTTTAATGCAACGACAATAGTGGCATTCGGGAATATAAACTCGAGCACTGGAGGGTGAATTTAGGCTATTCATGCAAGTCTTAACCATCGCAAGAAGCTAGAAAAAATCGGAGCATAGGCTCCTTGTCATTTGCATTATCAAATTAAATATGCATAGAGTGAAGCATTTTGAGAAAATGTGTGAAAATCATGCAAGTATTTGACTATTGTGAGTAATTCACTTCATTTTAATGTAATTTTAGGTAGAGCATGGAGAAACGATTGGGATTTATGCGTCTACATTCACTACTGAAGATATCTATCGCTTATCGCGCCCTGCTTTTACTGGCTCTAGCTGCTGGCACTGAATCAAATCAGGATCTGAGGGAAGACTGGCTCGTGACAGAGGACGAGAAAACAAGTACTGTTCGCTTTAACTGTTCCAGCAGGCACATCGCTCCTTTTAATCTGCTTTCGAGTCAGGGTGTCAGCTTCAACTGGACAATACACGAAGGATGTCCTGAAGTGGATGCAGTCATAAAGGAAGTATGTATAGTTGTGGTTCTAAGATGACACTGCTGATGAAAGTCAAACTAAATATTTATGTATTTATTGGTACCATATTTCTCTAATGACATTTACTTTGGCCCTAAGTGTTAAATCAAGAGAATTGTGGGTTTTATCTTACTCAAAGATAATTGCTAATTCCAATTAGCTTACAGGTTTGCTTTTTTCGAAAGGAATAGGTAAAGTTGGAGGAATTTTGGAATTAAGGCTGCTTATAGGAAAAAGTTGACCGTATTCGCATTTACTCCCATTTTTGAGTATAGTTTAGTTAATCATCCAAATCAGACTGAGCTATCGGATGCAAAATTATGATTCATATTCTCCCGCATACACACAAACTCACACCCACCTGCACATATTTATGAGCACATATATATGCAAACATAAATATACAGAGGATTCCGATTTATTGGGACATATCGGGGCCATAAAAGCTTCATCCGAATTAAGCATTTACCCCAATTATGTAAAGTTTCATGAAAAACAAATAGAAAACTACCATCTGCTAATCAACACCTCATGTATTTAAATGAATTACGGAAGAATTCGAGGAAAAATATTCAACTTTAAAATATTTACTGTATGCAACAAATATACATGCAATTTCTAATATTTAATGAAATTGGAGAAGTTTACCAAGCGTCTCCTGTCATGTTCTCTGGATAAACTAGCGCAGATCTCTACTGTAGATAATTGACTAACTTCACTGTTTTCACTGCTTTCATTGCTTTTAAGACTGAAGTAACATCGTAATAAACTCTAAATTTTTGGCCCTCTGTTTATAAATCGCTCAAGCTCAGAGAAATGTGTCCTAGCATTTTTCATGTCAAGCCAGCCGAAAATGTCCGGGATTAGTCAGTTGGCTTTAGATTTAAGTAAATAAGAAAATATTCTATGACAGTGGCAAATATTTATGTGATATCTTGGAAGTCACCTGTCCCGAAACCCTCCAGATTAAACCGCATGGCTTCACAAATGAGGTTGGGAAATTCAGATTATTATTTTACTTTGCTTCTGTTCTATATGATTTCTTTTAAATAAAGGGCCTAGTTGATTAAGTGATTGTTTAATTAACTGTACTCAATTATATATATAAATATATAAATGTAGAATAAGAAGTATAAATTATGATGGTCGCTATTTTATTTGTATGTGTGTATTAGCGTATATATATATATAAGTATGTTTTAAAAACTACCAGTATATCATATATATGAGATTTATTCATTGTATTTTTTTAGACAATAATGAAACGGGTAATTAATTTTTTTCCAAAATGTTATTAGTCGATCTTACGCTGCCATACAATTTAAAATAGCAGTTGCGACACTTGAACTGGTCTCATCAGCACCACCAGCGGGACCCGAACCATGACATTGCAGCTTATAATCTAAGCATGTGAAATTCAATGGAAATATAATGTATACTCACATCATCGTGGGAAAATTCCACCTCTAATCCCCTTAAAGTGTGGGTAGATCACAAGTGGATTTAGGCTTAATCTTGAGGATCTTAAAATAATGATGTCCAGCCCTGATGATATCCATCTTGAAATGCACGAAAGCCTTACTCTTTTTAACTGAAACGAGGGAGGATGCTTCTTTAATTGTCTAAAACGGGAAGGTCGTAATAAAGACAGACGGATGCAGTACACGACAAATAAGGCGTCTTCTTCTGGTAAGGTCGACATACAAATCTTTTCATCATGTACTTTCATACAGAGTGTAAGTCTCCTCAACAGCCATTATGACTTTGGGCTTTGGAGCCTCTGTGTGGTAATCATTATGAAACAGAATAACACCTTCAGGTTGGAAAGTTGCCTCTTTTCACCAGAATCAAGTTAAATAATTGTAGCTCTAGAGGCTAGTAATCTGCTAAAGCCTAGGCAGATGGTCGAATTTTGGTCTACAACGGCTTGGCTGCAAGAGGTACTGAGTTGAGTGACACCTTACTACAATTAATTAATTCGCTTAAAATAATTTTCGGACTTTAACAGGGTTTTTTGAACAGCGCTATGCTGAGGCTTTACTATGCCATTGAATTTCACCTAGCCGTGATTTCCAAAGATTTTTCATTCAACCTGGACTGGACTCCAGTTTCTACATTGCCTGGGTATCATCTGCACTTCCGATGAGATTCCTAAAAGGGCTGCCAGCGACAACATGTTCACAGATGTCTGTAATTCGTGAAGGGAACCTGTGATTTTACAGGAAAGCCAGGCATATTCGTACTCACATTTATACCGGAACTGTTAATGAGGCAAAGTGATGTTTTAAATTGCATTGGATGACGTACTGACATTTGGTATGAGGTTATTTCGGGGCTAGCGGTTATTTCTGATTATGAAGTAAGTCAGCATAGGTTGCTTAAGATAATTTAAGGATGGATATTGTAGTCTTGCAAACAATGCTATGAGTATAACAATGCATTTTACTTAATTTTGTCTTCCAAAAATTTTTCGCATTCAGACAAGCCGGAATCGCCTGGCATACTCATTAGGTTGTTGGCAGACCCCCTGTAAGCAACCTTAGATATCAAGTCCTAACTACTAGTCTCAAACATTACCTATCACAAAATTATTATCGTCGTTTAAGGTAATAGTAAATAAAAACTTCTCTAATATAAGATGTATTCACCCTATTTCGTTTAAAGTGATGAAGGACTGGTAGTAGAATTTTCCCAAAATGATATGAGTAGAGCTGACGTTCCCATTTAATTTCACATTGCCTTGCTTTCCCAAAAGTTGTACTCATCAACACCCCCAACGGGATTCGAACCGTGACAGTGCAGAATGGGAGCCTGACACATTCACCATTCGGCCACATTGCCACGAGTGCCCTTGGGACACAGGTCAGATGTAAATTTCGAGAAAAGCCAGGTCTTTTCCCATATTCCATCCTTTGGTGGGATTTTCGATGAAGCAAACGTATTTTTGCTATAACAATCGACTAAGTTACTTATTTTTCGTAGGTAGGTAGAGTTTCGAGACTACTTGTAAACCAATAATATGAGATGTATTCACCTTATCTCGTTTAATGTACTTACATACAAAAAATAAGTAAAGTAGTCGATTGTTTTAGCAAAAATACGTTTGCTTTATTGAAAATCCCACCAAAGGATGTGATATGGGAAAAGACCTGGCCTTTTTCGAAATTTACATCTGACCTGTGTACCAGGGGCACTCGTGGCAATGTGGTAGAAAGGTCAGCATTTCAAGCTCCCATTCTGCACTGTCACGGTTCGACTCCCGCTGAAGGTGTTGACAAGACCGATGCGAGGTCGAAACTGCAGTCCACTCCAGCCGGGATGAGAATACCTTTTAGGAAATCAAGGCAATGTGAAATTAAATGTAAACGTCAGCTCTACTCATAGCAATGTGGGAAAATTCTTTTTCTACTAGATCTTCATCATCACAAACGAAATTGGGTGAATACTGCTCATATTACTGAGTTACTGGTAGCCTCAAAACACTACTTACATACAAAAAAAAACTTCTCTAGTTGTA